GGAGCGCAAGTGACAGGCACGAGTAAGATGGGTGTGCAGAAAACCATATTCTAATGCAAAAGCTGTGATGAGAAAATGGAATCTACACACCTGATGGGAATATTAATGCAAAACCATGACCTATAATTTTTCTTTCTTCAGTCTGGGCGTGCCAGAAACAATTGCAGCTCATTAAAATGGATCATGTCCTGACAGTCATGCATAATGACCAAGTCCCACAAGTCCCGTGGTTTAAATGTTTGCCTAGCTGGTGAAGCCAGCAAGGTAAATGTTTAGACCATGGGACTTGTGGGACATGGACATTATCATAGAGCTGCATGGTCCTGCTTGACTAGACACAGGAAAGTGCAGCAAACCTTGAAGACCCTTTCTCTCTTTTAAACCCAGTGTTATCAGAAAAAGAGTGGAGGGAAAAAGAACAAACCCAAGAGTGCCAGTGTGGGTTGGACCTTTGGAATTCATCTGGCCCATCCCCCCTTTCAAAGCAGGACCAACTTCAAAGTTAAATTCAGTTTGGAAGTCAGCTCAGGTGGCTCAGTGTTGAGCACTTCCAAGGATGGAGATTTTACAGCCTCTCTGGGCAGTCTGTTCCAATGCTGCCTTGTCAGGGCTCAATCTGGAAGCCATTCACCACATCACAACAACATCTGGCTCTACTTTCTTAACTGCTTTTTTGATGCAAAGTGTGTGTTGGCACGTGGGATGCAGTAAGAATCAGTAGGGGAGGTGACAGCGTTGTGCAAAGACAATTCTTTTGCAAGGAAAATAGATCAGAAAACAGTCCCACACAAGATGGAGTGAGAAGGAAGACACTGCAGTATTTTATTCTGACTCTGGTGCTTTTCTGTAAGGCACTGCCAGACCAATTCTTGAAGATGAAATAACCAAAATGTTGTCCAGTTTGGGCTTGGTATTTGGCACAGACTTGAGATGTCAGTGCTGTGGTTAGCTGTGCTACAGCAACAAACACAACTGCATCTCTCTTTCTCCACTGAGCAGTGAGGTCTGTATCCCTCTTCAGAGGCATCTCTCTCTCCTTGGCTCCTGATGGAGGGAGCCAAAGGCAACAAGCTTCCTAGCCCTGACACCTCTGATATGTGTGAAGATGGATGGGTTGAATGCAGACCTAAAATATTTTACATTTTCACGGTAGTTTCACAGCCCTGGCATTATCAAATGATCTTTCAAAGTACTTGGAAGCAGGAGGAGAAGAACTTGAGATAGGTTCTGGCTTTTTTGTGTCTGTGTACTTGCAAACTGTCTCTGCCTACACATCTTGCAGGGCCTGTTCCTGTTTGGAGATGCACACGGAAAATTAGTGCTCGTGTGGATGCTCTGTCTGCTCCATTTCCCCCCTGAAATTTGGAGGCTGTTCAAAGCCAGTCCCCATCCCTGGGTGCTTAAGATCAGACTTGCCCTATGTGCTGCACTCCACTGACCAGCCTAGTCAGGAACTCGAGGCTAGGAAACACAAGACAATTTTAAAATCTGAACAAAAGTAGGAGATTAAGGAAACCAGCTGGAAACCTCTGTTTTGCTGATTTTGAAAGCAAAATGTGGGTCACATATGTGTTTCCACAGACAGAAACTGGCTGGAGAAGAAAAATACATCAGCATTGCCCAGACTCTTTGATGATCAGAGGTAGATTTAGCTCCTAGGCATAGAGACAAGAAAGGAAGAGGAGACTAAGTAGGAATAAAAACATAATCAAGATATTAGGAATGTGGAACGCAACCCACCCGTAAATTTGCCTTAGGGAACTACAAAAAAATGCAGTGGAAAAAAAAAAAAGATGAAATCAATTGCCACATCTTACTATCTTCCCTTGTCTTGCCTTCCTTTGCAGTCCAAGACACAGGAGGTCCATTACAGAACCTTCCCTCTTCCTCGACCATGTTTTTTCTTTGTAAAAGTGCTGTTTTCTACTGCTCCTTTACAGCAGCTACGAAATCCTTGCTAAGGACTGGCTGACTTTAGAGCCCAAAAGAAACAAAGCTTTGCAGGAAATCCATACTTGTCTGCATGTATCAGGGGCTAGAAAGCAATGTGCTCTGGCCCATCTGGCTCCAGAAGGGAGCTAATACTCACTTCTTGTTTAGTCTAACACAAAAGATTAAACTTATTTTCAGTGAAATTGATGACAGACTGGTAAAAGCCATGCTGCCGACCCTTGCAGGCTGTTGATTAGCCTGTGACTTGGTCTCCCAGGGGCTGCAACAGAAGGCCTGTTGTTCCAGCCATTTAAAAAAACTCAAGGTAAAGCACTGGAAGAACAGTTAAAGACAACAGCAGCACTGACTCAGAGAAGCCCAGGAGGTGGTTCCTTAGAAATAGCCAAGCAGCAGGGGGAGGTTCTGAAAAGCATTCAGGGCATTTGGTGGGTGCTTTCTGGGGTGAAGGGAAGTGCCTGGAGCACTCCTGAAGGTCTCACCTGTGCTGGCCACAACATGACCTGGCCACTTGGTGCCTTCAGGCTTTGTGGCATGTGCTGAGCAGCCATGGAGCACAATCTCCAATTCCTGCAGGAAACTTCCCTCCTGCCAGCAAAATGCCAGTCCCTAAGGCTTAACACCAAGAGAAGCCTGAAATGAAATGCTAGTGCAGCTCACTGCCTGTCACTGTTTTTCAGACTTTGGGGAACTTAGAATTCAGTTCTTTTCTGGAATTTATTTTTCTCAGCCCTAATGAAAACACATTTTGTAGTTGTTAGTGTTTTAAATTGAGTGTCAGTGTGAATAAAGACAAGCCTTTTCCCAGGGTGGGAAAAAAAATAAAACTGTCTCAAATCTTCCACTCATGCAAAAACAAACAACCCTAAAGCATTGAAGAATTAAATAAAATATATGCCTCTTTTCACTGGGAGTCCACTGGGTGTGAATAAGTGCCATATGAGCTCTCACTTGCATCACCATCTCCTGTGATGGCACCAAGGCCTAGAGGTGCAGAAGGATGTGTTTTGGTGCCCTGCCATGTGACAACATCTTTGTTCCCAGTGGTGGAGCCACCAGAGGCTCCTGAACACCAGCAGGGCTGTGAATGAGAAGGGCTTTGTTATCTCCAGCTTCTCCACCAACCTAGCCCAGAGAAAAAAGGTGCCCAGCCACAGCACAACTCACAGCTAAGGAGAGAGGCATCACAGCACTGCCCTGGCACAGAGGGCCATCCATCCTCATCTGGATGCAAGAGATTTTGTCAGAGACACAAGAATTCATTTGGCTGGGCTGCAACCCCTAGATTGCAATTGCTGTGAATACTACGGCACAGAGCCTCTTCAGTTGATGTCTAGAAACTGCTTGTGGTTTCAGAGCTCTTGCTGATGAATTGCACAGCAGCTGGTCATATTGGGAGGGCTCTGCTTATTATTTTCAACTGCTGTCTTGCATGGAAGGAAAATCAAAATACTTTCCTCAAGGTAACTGGCTCTAAAACAATTGAAGGTTTTTCCACAAAGTTGTAATGCAATTAGGACTGGCATTTTAGATAATTTATATCTCTAAAGGTATGTTTATGCCATCATACCCTTATTTTGTGAAAAAAAAAAAAAAAGAAAAAGAAAAAGCTGCCAGCAAGAGAAAGCTTATTTTGCTATTACAGGCAATGAAATACAGATTCAACCATCATCCACCTAGTACTGATTAAAAGGCAGCAGAATGCCAGGATCATCTCTGAGGCGTGATCATGGTTGGGTAGGATGCTGTATCACCAACCACACATCTGCAGGTTTCCCATTCAGTTTTCCATCAGTGCCAAATGATGTGTCATCACTTCCCTTCTGCTGCAGCACCTCAAGAGCTGCTCTCCCCAGCTGCCCTGCCAGCTTGGATGGGAGCAGCTGGTGCAGCTGGGAGCACCAGGCCCACCACACAGAACAAAACCAGCAGCCACACCAGTGCCTGGGTTTTGTTTTTGATATCCAGGAACACCCCAAGCAGAGTTCCCAAACAATCCAAACACAATAACAGCTCCAGAAGTGCATGAAACATCTGGTGAACTTGTTGCTATGGGATATTGTGACAGCCAAAAGCATGGACATAGCATTGCCTGACCCCATTGGGAAGCTTCTGTTTCCCTGATTGCCAAAAGGTCCAAGGGTACAGCTGGGGAAATGAAAGCTGTCTGCACGCCTGGTCCTTATGTTTATACTTAACCACCTTTGGCTGACTCTTGCACAAGATACAGTCCAGGGCCAGGGGCATTTTGCCTGACTGCAACAGATGCTGTGATTGCAATTATGGGATGAAAACCTTTAGTCTCCTGACCTAGGCTGAAGCAAATATTTTGGATCAATTATCATTACAAATAGGTCTGAACTGAAACTAGGGAGACACGGAACATCTCTTCAGAGCCACAGCAGCCATTTGTGGGTAGATGTCCTGTCCTCATGACAGCATGAACCAAAGCCATGGATTCAGACAATCCCCACTGAATGACATCTGGATGTGGTCCCTAATGGCAGAGAAGCTACTGACTGTATTACAAGAGTAACTCAATACCCCTGGAAAAGTAAAGATGTCCCTTACCCTTGGTTGTAATCCAGCTGACCTATCAGTACACTGTACAACTACAGAAGGTCCAGTGGGAAAGAAAAGCAAACAGAGGAAAGAAAAGCAAACGCAAGAGCTGTACTGCTGCGCAAAGCAGGTGATCACACCCTTCTGTTCTCAGTCAGATAGACAAAGGAGCCATCTGCTGTGCCCACAGGTTGATTTGCCTATATTCACTAGATCCATGTTTGCAAAAACCTACCCTGAGACATTTGGGAGCAGTTTGGGAACCTGGCCTTGGGGTCACAGACCTGACCCCAGACTGGCCAAGAGGGGACATGAATGTCCTGCCTGATCCTCTGTGCTTTGCAGTGGCCTGTGGCACAACACACACCCCAAACTGTAAGCAGAGACACGTTGAGTTCCACTGGTATGAGGTCATTCACTTCAGTCAAAACTTCAACAAATCCAAATGCAGCTTCTCAACATGCAAGGCTATGGCCAGGGATACTCACTATTGGGCTGAGTCGTTAAGTTGATATTCCCGGGACCGGTTGAAGCATTCTTGGATCCCAGAGTCTGCCCAGAGCCTCATCATAGCTGACAGCAGCTCTGGAGAGAAGGGCTCTGTGTCCTCCATCCGACTTACGACATCGCAGACCATCTTGGCATCAGCCTGCAGAGGAAAGAAACAAGAGCTCACAGAGATGCTTAAGGCAGAATTTGGAGCCAGAGATTTCAGAAACAGTTCTCCAAACCATCAGGAGTAAAGAGGCCGTGTTTCTCAGGATGGGGCTTTAGCATCCATACTGTGTGATCCAGCTGAAAGAGCAAAAGAAGGATGGAGGAAGGAAAACACAAGGAAAAAGTTTGTTTGTGCAATCCACCTCATATCAACAAATATTTCCATTCAACAGACAAAGCAGTCTGCACTGCATGTGTGGAATTTCATAGGAACAGATAGGAATTCATACATGTACAAGGATATTTAAAATTGTTAGCAACAACGCCTTGCTTTAACTGAAAGTGGAAACTTGCTGAAGTGGGGGCTTTGTATCAGAAAGAACAGCAGAAAGACTCAAGAAACAATTTCCAGATGCTGGTTTATTGCTTTTCCTAAATTCTTGTTCTTTGCTTAAATTCTTGTTCTTTGCTATGAGCCCCTGCTAGGAGGGCTAATTCATGTTAATGCGGACCACCTTGGCTGCTGTGGTGCTCTGTGACTCACAGGGAGAGGAATCTCCCACGGTTACAGAGCATGGCAGTGAGGGCAGGGCCAGATGGCCATTTTCAGATGGAATCTTTTTTGGTGAGAAAAAATGAGATTCACTGGGACAGCAACGTTTCCTGGAGGATAGTGCTCTGACACAACTTGGGTCTGGAAGATGTCTCAGATTTAGAATGGGAATGTCTAGACAGCCTTGGAATAGCTGAGTTCAGCCTTCCTGTAATAGTCCACAGTGGCTGATGCTTCACTCGTTTGTGAAGAAGAACACCCAGTTTTATGACTATGCTTGCTTTGCAAGAAGTAAACTCCCACAGCACCCACAGACTCCTGAAACCCTTGGGATGTTGACTAATCTGCAGAGTTTTTCTTTCATTGCTTTGAAAATCTCATATTTCTACTAGCTGAAACAAACCCAATTATTATTGCTATAATTAATTGGAAAAGAGGAGCTCTTGTTCCTTGTATGTGTGCAGCAAGCTTGTGAAGACAACCTTCTTTTTTTACTCTCTTGCCTCTTGTGTGCTAGACTGAACCCATTCTTGGCTAAATGGAGGTGGAAATCTTTGCCTTCCAGGATGTTTGATCTAAGCCAGCGAGTGCAGACCAGAAAAACAAATCTTGAGAGGGGAGTGCGGGCTCTGCTCATGCTTTGTTGGGGACAATTAGATGTGCCATCATTGAGGAGCACCACAATAATCTTATTGTATGGATGGGAATAACAAGTGTATGGCAGGGTCTGTATGGTCAGGATCAAAACTCTGTAACCTCTTTTCTGAACACCAAAACTGTGGAGAAATTGCAGAGCACCAAACTGAAAGCACTGGAGACTGAAGCTGCTGGAGATTTCAGTGCTCAATGAAAGAGCCTCAGGTGCCCTGAACATCCAGCCTTTACGGGCTGAAGAAGTCTCAGTACTGTATGTCTCAGTATTGTATCCCATCAAACTTAATGGGGTGGACTCTATGCTTTGAAGGCTTCATGAACATAAAATCTTTCTCACAGAGCACTTAACTTCATATGATAGTGCCCAGGAATCTTCCCAGCCCTCTGTACAGACTCTGCTCATTTTGGCGAAAAAGTATTGGTGACTCACACCTCAAAGCCAAGACAAATGAAGAACCTTGAAGAGTTCAGTTAATTTCAAAAGCTTGTTTTCTGCCCCGGAGTGCTTTGTGAGCTGAGTGAATATTCATAAATCATCTGTATGGTTTGCCTGCCCTGCTGGAGCAGCAGTTCTGCTCTTTTCACAGACTCCAAATGACATAAAACCTGCTAATGGCTGCAGTCTGCCTTGGCTCCAGTATTTGTGTATGTGTGATGCAGGAAAAGCATCCATGCTTCCAGTCAGGTAGAAGGATGTCTTTGTATGTTATCTTGACTGCTGGAGGGGGTTATAGGTATAAGTAACAGATCTGTCCATCTGTCTGTAATGGCAAAGCACATTTGAAGCTCTCCAGCTGTCATGGGCATGGTCTGGGCTTCTGAGTTTTGTGGATTTAACTGCAGCTGCTCTTTGCAAAATATCAGAGGCAATGGCACAGTCATCATGTTTTCTGTGCTGGGAAATAGCTGCATCACCTTTTCAACCACTGAGACTTGTGGCAATTCCCTGTGACCCATCACAGGGGGGTTTTGAGCAGAAGACAGAGATGAACAGCAATGACAAGGCAGAATGGGAGTGACCAGGCACAGACATTTCTGGCTGTGGTTATCTGTGAGTCTGTTGGGCCAGAAGTGGGCACGTAGGGCAGGGGATTATTTTGGTACACAATCCTCTGCAGTAACTGGAAGTCCCTTTTGGGGACAGGAGAGGCTCTCCTCCCACAGCATGGACACCTGCCTGCAGGGCAGACAGAGTCAGCAGGCTGAAACAGGGGAAGAACTCGAAGGAAAGTTTATTGCTTCTGCTGAACAGTAATAACAATATTCCAGACTTAGTTTTATTTTGCAGTGTGAACCACTGAACTCTTGGTTTTACAGATCTAGAAAAAGCAGGTGCAATGAGTACTTTTAAAAATACCCCTTCCCCCTGCCAAGGTTGAAGTCCCTCTGTCAAGGAGCATGGGGACATCCAAGAGTTCAGGCATTTGTTAGATGATTTAACGAGCAATTAAGGATCCATGAAGAGAAGATACCCCTTTCTTTTCTCACTCTCCAGGCTGTGTCTCAAGCTGGGAATGACATTAAAATCTCCAACTCCCCCTGGGCCCAGCAGGTAGATTTTAAATACTGCCTGATTGACTTTTCCCTGCCTGTCTCCCCTGGGTCTGCTGCTCCTGCTTTTCCCGAGGTGAGAAGAGCCGAGCCTCCTGCCACGCTGTACTTCAGCCAGCAATTAAATAAAGCAAAACAAAACAGGCAAACCAGCCCCCCACTCCCCTGCCTTGCAGTTCCCATCCGACAGGGCTGCTGTTAATGAACATCACGGTGGTATTTCAGCTACCTCGGGAACTAAAAATAGGCAGTGCTTGGCCCCTGGGATTGCTGGAAGGAGCTACAAAATGGTGCAGAGCTCATTCCACCACTGCTGCCTCTGCCATTCCCAGCTGCTCTGTCTTCTGTCTCCTCGGAACAAGACATCTGGGAGGAGGGTAAGAGGTCAGGCTGGTCTCCTTCATGCTGGCTCTTACCCAGCACGAGCGTCCTAGCCTTTGTCTGCAGCATTCTGACACGTCCTGCTGCCACTCCCCAGTGCCTTGTGTTTCCCATAGCAGGTGAAACCCTAACACCTGAGCTGAATGCCTTTGGGCAGTTCATTATGGAGAGTGGCATTTGACACTTTGTGTCATTCCTGAATGCTGATTCCATCCACCTCCAGCAGGACAATTAAAGCTGGCTGTGCACGGTCGGGGGAGACAGATGAGCTTAGAGACTGTGGTAAAGTGAAATTATACATCCAGGCTTTAGACATCAAGCCAAGAGACCAAATAAGTCTTTACTAAAGAACAGACCTCAGCTTTGGTCAGGGAAGGGAGAGGGTTCTGTAAGGCCAGGGCAGGGTCTGAAATCCACAGGCAGCTGTGAACAAGAAGCTTGTAAACACAGTGGGAAGTTGGCATGTGTCATTCCTAACCCCAGGTTGTGGGCCTACCTGTGCAACACACTTCTGGTCTAAATCCAGTTCAAAAGGGGATCTGTTCTCTACCTAACCTGGATATAACTGCAGTTATTTAATTGTCTCCCATATGTCACTGTCACCAAGCTCACAGCCTGTGCTCAGCATACAAACTTGTGACTTGCAACAGTCACACAGCCCAATTAATGTGTTACCTGGCTGGAAGGGAGAGGGGCCCCTCCCTGCAGTCTGAGACTACTCGCAGTTGCCTTTGTCTCTGCAAGCAAGTTATTTTCCATTACCCCGATACAGACCACCCCTAATTACTTGTTCCTCACCACCACCCATGACTGGTGCCCATGAAGATACCAGCAGAGCTGCACTATGAAGGTACCAGCAAAGCTGCTGCTGCCCTAGCTGCTGTAGAGTCAGACTGGAGAAGGACCTAGGTCCCCATCTCTGTCTATCCTAGGGCAAATCCTAGCTCTGATTCTTTGAAGTTGACTGGACACTGACTAGGAAACTTTTTATTTTAATTTTTTATCCAAAAGGAATAGTTTTCTGGAAGGGGAATTTTAAGGGAGAGGCAAAACCTTGTGTGAAGCTGCGTGGTACAAATCTGCCAAAGCTTAAAGAGCTGTGCTGTGCTACAGCCAATGAAGGTATGAGCTGGTGTGCCACACTGTACTGTCCTTTCCTTTTGGTGAACTAAATCCCTGTAAATATCACTTTTTTTGCTATTATTTGTTCTGATTAATGATACTTGTCACTTAGCCTGTCTCAAAGGTTAATCTTGGGGCAATTTTGTCTGGTGGCTGGTTGTACCAGGAGCTGCTTCTCTGAACGTTTCAGAAAATCCATGCAGTGGGGGAAAAGATAAGCACTATAAGCACTTCAATTTGGCTGGTGGTACAGGGCACATCAGTACAGTACCAATCATCAGCAAGCAATCTTGTGAAAATAGTAGTGGCCGTCATGAGTCATGAACCTGGGGATAATCAAACTGATGTCTAGTGACCATCCACCATCCAAAAACGACATCCTTGGAAGGGAACCCTTTGGGGAACCAGATCCTGACCTCAGGGCACAGCAGGATGTGCCTCTGCTACTCCAGTGAGAAATGGTGTCCTGTAACTTTGTGGCAGAATGTGTCTCATAAACTGAAAACCTCCCCCTTCTCCTTACAGACTGTCTCAGAAATATGGACCACACTTCCAGACAAAGAGTGGTTGCATTGCAGCAAAACCCAGTGCTTTTTCACAGCATTTCATCCTGAATAAATCCTGGAAACAAAGCATGGCTGGTGAATATGTCTTTTCCAGAGACATCCAGGGCCAGCTCCAAGTCCATAGAAGTTTTTGTAGACACTGAATAAATAGCTACATGTATGACT